AAAAAAAATTGAGTATTATCAGATATTTATCTTATTCTTGAAAAGATGTCTATTTAAGGTACACCTAACAATACAATGAGAAATGATAATTAGAAAATGCTATATACTTAATGAGGTTGATTTTTATGAGCATATAAACTTTACATATCATTTTTTCAAGTAATAAATTTACTTTTTGATAAGTCTTCCAAGAGGTAAATGAGAAAATAAAGCAACAATTCAAATAAAATCTATTTTAGTATCAAATATGCATGTTTTTCGGAATAGATATTGAGATCTAATACTTTTTCAGTCCAAAAATTATCTCAAATCTGCATTATAATTTCAATGTTAAAAATAGAACATTGAAGCATCTCAGAAGGTATGAAGATTAATAAAGTAAATTCAATTTTGGGCATACTAATCTATTGATGAGACAAAATTAATGAAGTGAAAAGATTAAAGTTCTGAGAAAGTATGACTTTATTTTCCTGATATCCCTGAAATTTAGAAACTCATATTTTGAACTTCAAGTGTTAAGGAATGCACATGAAAAAGAACTATAAAACCCAAATACTGAGAAGCAAATCTTCCTTTGAGTGACACAGGATCCTTTAATAGAAAAGTTTTTAAAACAGCATTATATAAAAGTTTGCACAAACATCTGTTATGTTTTTCAAAAGTTTTCATGTATGGAATATGTGAATGAGGGCACACAACCAAAAGCAAGTTCAGAAAACGAACAGAACCATGAGGACAGTGAGTTAGGAAAACTAAAGCAAAGAATAATTGCAGACATAGAGGATAAAAATACTGCAAAGGCTGGAACTCTTGCTTTGTGCTCTCTCTCCCTATTATTATGCATACATAAATAAATGTGCATACACATATACAAATATGTTTAAGCATTTGTGTATATATGCAAAAATACACATATACATTGTAAATATATATGTGTGTATTTACATATATCTGTAGACTCATACACTCACATGAATATATATGCAAAAAGAGATGCATGTATGTAGATGCACACACATATGTAATGATTTGTATTTGTCAAAAAATAATAAAAAGATAATTCTTCTGTTTAGGGTAAGGAATTGTTAAAAGTAAACCAGAAGCAAAAAATAGGAAAAGAACAAGAACTAATTAAAGTGGATATTGCTATGGCTTTTTCCTTCCTAATAAGAATGATCCCAAAGAGAGAAGAGAAAAGCAGTTCAGAGCAGTAGAAGTCTAAGCATTGAAACTCCAGTAAACCAAGAGATAAGCTGCCTAATTTAAAGTTTGGGCACCACTTCCCAGCCTACTTCCTGGCCAGTGAATGGAAAATTTTATAAGCAATGGCAAAGGTGTCCATAAGCAGACAGTTGATGCTTTCTAAACAGTTAAAAGATTGTGAAAGCTGCATGAAAGATGTTATAAATGTGTTCCCAGAAAAGAGTATTTTGAGTGGGTATTATGGCAATTAGTCTTTAACTGAAATAATTTTTAAAAATTTAAACACATACCAAATGTTTTGATCAGCCCTGCCATTGTACTCCATCATTTTGCAGCATAGTTTTTCTATGACAGCAGTATAAAATACTCACCAAAGAATACTCGCCCAAGAAAGAGAGTGCTCAAATCTTAAATAAATGTAGCTATATCAGATAAATAGATATAAATGACATATCAGTTTCCAAATTATATTTTATAACTGGAAAATATCTACTTTATAAATTGCACGTTATGGTTTTCAATTAGATAAAAAGTGTTTATATGAATACTTTTTACATAAGTTTTTGTATTCATATTTGTTATTCCTACTAAAGTGCAATTTTTCAAAAATAATATGTTTTCTAAATTTTATTGTGCTTTTTCAAGACATTTTTCTTTGATATACATAAATGTTTGGAAGTCTCTCTTAAGGAGAATTTTATTTATTATAAGTAAACTTTTGGGTTAATTTAAATTTCTGTACAAAGATGAGTTATTATTTAAGGGACTTCATATTTTGTGCTTAGAATCTATTAGGATCATACTTCATAATAATCAAATGACCCAGCTATTTATGGATCATTCTAGTCCTTTGCAATGGATGCTTTTAACACAAAAAATAATCTTTATGAATATATAGTTTCTCTTCTAAATATAATATTACATGTACATATTTACTACAAAGAGAGATGACATAATACTTTATAATCAATTGAATTTAGGTAAACCTAATTATATTTTTGGCTGTTTGCATTTGAAACGAGATTACTACATTCTTATTCATAGCTTCTATACACAGGAAATACAACACTGAGCTATGTAAAGTATTTTTATTCAGATTTTCTTTTGAAAAGACAGAGGTTATTTGCTCCTAATTAACCTTAGCAGAGAAGCTTCCTTTGTTAAAGTTAGTATCTTCCTTAAAAAACATCAGACACCCTTAGATAATCCACTGATTTATCTAATCTCAGTTATATTAATGAAATGTGACTCAAGATAAAATTTGACCTATTTTTGTCACATATTTACATTCATTATTCTCTAGTAAACATCTGACTTGCTTTATATACTTAGCAATCTTTCCAGAAGCATTTTTCATAAACTCAAAGATGTCAATAGTTTTCATTGGAAAACACTCTGACAAGAATATGTAAAAGTTTACAGTTCATTTCTTGTAGCCTATCTAGGTCATGATAGTCAATATCTTTGGAATAAAATTGTGTACCTTTTATCATTGAGAGTACAGAAAAATACTACTCATAAATTTTGATGTAAACATACAATACTAACCAACTAGCTAATTAACAAAAGAAATGAAAATTAGGAGAACAATATCTTAAGGTTCTGGCAGTATCCTTTAAATCAAGGCAAGGATAAGGTTAGTGGCAGTGTTTACAGTTTCTTATGAATTTAAGACATGTTAGCCACAAAATACTAATATTCACCTTCTTAAACAGGTTAATGATTTTAACACTATAGTAACTGAGTACAAAGAAAACACACAATAGATTCTGTTTAAGAAAAGAACAAATTTTCCTAACTTTTAATTGCAGTTTTCAATTTAATTGATTTAGAAAGAATAAATAAATAAATAATATATCTTATTTTTAGAATACATCAGACCATTGATTCCAAGAATCGTGTTCCAGGAAAGAAGGAAGAACAGAAATATTTCTCCTATTCTTCATATATATATATGAAGAATATAAGAATATATATATTCAAAACACACAAATACTAACTCATAAAATGTATTGGAATTTTTCCATAAACGCTTATAAAGCACCATTCATTTTTCATCATAATGGGCCACTTTGATTTTGCTGCCCATCTAAATGTTAAAAATATGACACAATCTCAGAACTTTCTGAAAAACTCACGTCTTCAGAGTACAGTCATAACTTTGTAATTGGCTGCTTTGAAACTGGTCAAAGGTGCTACTCAGAGAATCTTGAAATGAAATTTTTGTCCCTGAACTTTCATTTGTTTGGTACTGTGGTTGTTGATTGCCTAGGGACCTGCTACCCTTTCCAGACAAAACAAAAATAATTCATTATTTTTGGGACTTGTGGAGACTTCCAGACCCAATTAATGAGTATCAAGGTACCACGGTACATGAAGGTGTTCTGAATGGGTGTAATGGAAAGGTGGAGACACAACTACCCAGCCCCCAACAGTAAAACTTTAGTTGTTTACCATTAGGATTTATAGCTGGGGATTTAGCTCAGTGGCATATGCGCCTGACTACCAAATGCAAGGTCTTGAGTTCAATTCCCAGCACAAAAAAAAAAAAAGAAAAAAAAAAGAAAAAAAAATCGGGTTTATAGGACACAGAGCATCAATTAGGACAACCCAAAATTATTCCATAGTATGATAATATGATTTATGGAACCGTTATCCTAGGTATTTCAAAACAGGTTTATTTTTATTTTTTTTTTGCCTGACCTACATAGCAAAAGAGAGAGTAGAAAACTAAACAGTGGAAAGAATAATCTCCATGAAAGGCAAAGAGCTTTGTCTGGTTAAGAATAAGCGACTTCTCTGGCTTATTTAAGAAATAGCTCTTTCAGGACAGAAAAATCAACTAATCAGTGCGGTTTTTACTTTTTTCCTTTATAAAATGTCATTATATTTCCAAAATGTTTATGATAAATTGCAACAATTCCAATCACATGAATTTTAATAAAAAACATGAAATCAAATTCAAAAGTTTTCAGCATATACTGAAAATGTCTGTGTGAACAAACTATAAACTCTCCAATGTTTTCTATCAAATGCATGTACCTACTGTAACATGAAAATACTGAATTTACCTATATTTTTTTGAAAAGGGAAACTAGAAAAGATTTCTTCCCACAGAAAATTTATTAACAATAAGTGTTCAGTTAAATGTTTTTAAGGGATGAACAGTGTTCCCTTTTGTATAAATATTTAGTGGAAAGATAATTTTTCTTCTTTTTTTCATTTCCCTAACTCCACTTACACATAAAATTATTCTGTATAGACACCACTTCACAGTAGATGTGCAGAAATCAATGAAAATCTAAATATACAAGAAAAACAAATACGATCATAATTCCAACCAACTGAATATTCACACATATCCTTGATAAAGGGCTATCTGACGATATGATGAATTATTAATCTTGAGTAAATGTACACAGTTGTCTACTTTTCAACAATCACCATTCAACAACCAATTTTTTTTCCTTTTAAGTCTTTCACGTTATAATTTCATAATCAGTTGAAATTGTGAAGCTAAGAATATTTGGAAATATAAAATGAAAGTAGCATTAACCATGGAATGACATTCAATTTCAGAAATGAAAATGAACACGTGTGTATTAGAGCAAAATTTTTTGACAATGTGTAAATCAAAACTTCCAAGATGAATAACTTTTCTTTTAACATATCACATCCTTTGCTTTCCTTCTAAAAAACAAAAGTAACAGAAGAGGAAAATACCAAAAAATAAAGAAATACAAAGAAAAAGAGAAAACAAATGAAAAGAAAAGAAACAAGAAGACGTGCTTCAGGAGTTGAATATTTTGATTTAATTGGCTAAGAAGTCCAAATGCTAATACTCCTAATAATTAGCCATTCCTTTTGTGTTTTGGTCACATGTATCCTCATACAATATATGTCAAATGGAACTTTTTGATCAACATCTGACATTTCAAAGTTTCCATTTTTGAATTCCCCTAGTCTTAAGTAGGTACCACATTGTCTCACATGTTTATTAAGGGTAACTTTTCTCCCAACATCTAGGACTCCATGATGCAGAATATCATTTTGGCGATCTTCCGTCCCGGTATTCACTTTCATTTTTTTTATTGTGATTGGATTTTCAAAGACAATAAGAAAGAAATCTCCTTTTGAAGGTGGTTTCCCCCAGAAGTACTCATCAACACTGCTGTAAGCCTTGCTTGCTTCATAATTTTCAAACACGTTCATGTTGGTGTATAGATTTGCTGGTGGGTTATCCGGAATGTCAAAGGACTCTTCTTCAAAGTCATCATCTTTTAATTTATTCTCTGTTCCTTTATATGAGGAGTAATAACCCATGTGCTGAAAGAGAGATGGTTTAAATCGGATCACATTTTTCTGAGCCAAAAGACCCCGGAAATGAGTCAATAGCCAATCACAAGGCATTTCTTGATAAAACATTAATAGAAAATGTGCCAGTCGTGGGAGATCATGGGAATGATAGAGTTTACCAATGTAGCCCAATTTAGAGAATTCAAGAGTTACCCAGTAAGTTCCTTCCAAAGATGCAATGACTTTCTTGATGGCAGTTAAGAAATTTTTGGAACATCGGACATCATCTTCAAGCATGACGTAATAGTCTGAAGTATTGGCACAAAAATTAAGCAGAAAAGCATAATCTACATTTTGCTTGGAACGAAATTTGACTCTGTCTTCTGGATCATTGTAATTTCTCTTAAGACCATCCAGGATCGGGTAATATTCCTCTGGAGAATGTATCACCATTAATCTTCCTGCGATAATATGATGAGCAAATTTCTGTGTGATATCCTGCACCATGATATCACGCCAGGATGAATTAAAATCTGCTAGATGGACCACTACTGAAATTTCTTTCAGTTCTTCATAGCTGGACTGCTCGAAAATGGATTTGATGGTCTCAAGTAAATAGTTTCCTCTCCTTCGCTTCACTGATGAAAGTCCAATAGTAAGATATCCTAAATAAAACATTTAGAAGGAAGACAAATTAAATGCAAGACAGTTTTTGAGTAATACACACAAAAAATTCTTTTCCTATAGGTTTGCTATTTTGTTAAATAATTATAGTGCATGATTATATATAGAACATATTATAAATAAAATACTAAGCTAAACATAAATCCATTTCAGTTTATGCATAAGTGATATTTTCTATTGAAAAAAATTTCATGGGGTTTTTTTGGTTCTTTTTGTTTTTTTGTTTGTTTTGACTTAGTCTTTTTGAGACAGGGTCTTTCTATGCAGTTCAGGCTGGCCTTGAGCTCACTTTTTAGCCCAGGCTGGCCTCAAACTCACAATAATCCTCCTGCCTCAGCCTCCCTAGTGCTGGGATTATTGGGGTGAGTCACTATGTCCAGCTGCATGTTAAGCATAATGTATGGGTCCCATAACTGTGACGCAAAACTAGTTGTTTAAATATTCTGCAGCTTAATGTTTTCATACACACTCACTGGAGAAAGTAGATTGATGTTAAAAAATATAGAAGTTTTTTTTTAAAAAAAAAAACTAAAAATGGGGAAAGAATTTCCAATTCAGATTGACAAATTAGTCTCCAATGATGAAAAAGAGAAAAAGTTAATAATTTATTCTTTAATTAGATTTAAATTTCTCATAGAACACATCATGTATTTTCATTTTTCTCTGATCATTGTCGTCATCTTGTACCACAAGAATTCATAGTTGGACTTTGACAAATTTAGTTTGAAATTTATCTTATATATAAACTAGAAAATAAAAATTCTCATAAGATTAATATGAAAAAATTCTTATTGCCCAATGGTATTTTATGATATCCTAAATCATGAATATTACTTTAAAAATTTAAACATATTTTATAATAATTTAAATCTGTAAAATCTAAAAGAAGAACTTGGATGTTTTTATTTATTTATTTATTTATTTACTTTAAAAAGACTTTAAAAGAAGAATAATAGCAAAATGCCAACAACATAGACAAAAACAAAATGAAGAAAAAACAAGAAGGATACAGGGTTTCAGAACAAAACCATAAGGATTAACAGTGGTTACTATATTATGCATTTTTATCTTCATGGAAGTTGGTCAGATTACCAGATGTAAGGATGTAAGATTAATCAAACCATTAAAGAGAACAAAAAAATGAAAACAAAAAAATTATGAATGATAGAAAGTTTCACCAAACAATATGGTAGGAATTCAACAATGATTGTTATGTTGCATATAGTTGTTTTCAAATTAATTGTTCAGATTACCAGATATAAGCATGCACAATTGGTCAAAAAATAAAATAAAGCATTAGCTGTTCAATAAACAATTAGACATCAGCAGTACAGTTATCCCAGCCATCCTTCTATATATAAATATATATATATGCATTTCACATATTTATTTTATATATATATATTTTTCCCTCCCTTCCTTCTTTATGTGCTTTCCCTAATCCCAGTTATGTCTTCTTTCAAGCATTTTCTTTCCCTTTCTCAATATCTATTGTACATATTGGGTTCCACTTACTTTTCATGTTCTTACACTAGGGACATGGTCTCTATTTGCATCCATTTACCTATTAAAGAACTTGGATATTTTTAGAGAAAAATAAAACTGAGGAAAGACAGTACACCTCTGAAGAATGTTTCATATCTTTCTACTGACATATTTTCATGTTTTAAAGGTCTCACACTCATATGAATCAGAACTGAACAAAAATTATACATAACCATTTGCAAAGTGAGGAAATGTTTGTATGTATCATATTCTTTGATTTAATATAGACACCTACATGATTTGAAGTGAACAATACTGAAAAAGTTCTTTCTAAGAAAGATCTTTCTTGTAGGTCTAAGTCAGGATTGACCTGTTTTGTATCTGGGCTTAGAACTCTGATTTCTCTTAACTATTCAAACATTTTATTTGCAACCATTATCGACCTTGAAGCCACCATATCTCATTAGTAGTCCATAATGGCCAACATCTATGAAAGACTTTGTACGTAATAGGCAGAAAAGTATGCAAATTTATCTGTTATGTACATTTCAAATATACATACTGTTTTTTTGGGATAGATCAGTTATTATGATTCTCCTTTACAGATGAGGAAAACAAGTCCTAACGTGATGAGGGAATGTGCAAATTGTTCTTACACTTAGGCAAATTGCATGGCGCCAAGACTGAAACTGCCCCACTTATCCTCTAGGTGATCTGACCTCTCTTTGATAAGGTGGTGGCATTTATGCCAATAGACATTAGTAAATTTAGCAAAAAGAGGAGTCAGTAATGTTCAAACAATGGGGGCATGAAGGTGGTTGAACCCATGGAGATGAAAAAATTGTGGCAGCCTTATGTAAATGAAATGAACCCTAAGAACTCTAAACATTTGATGTAGGATAGAAAGCAAAGAACGCTAAAGAAACCTAAATCAACTTATCAATTTCCTCAGCTTGGCGATCACAACTGCCTGGTGTAAGTCCTTTGGTTTCCACAGAATTTATTAGAAATTTCACTGAATCTATTTATCTATTTGTACTAGTATGTGTTTTCAGTACATGAAGATTACAATCACCTTGAGTGGAATCTAATTTAGTCTAAGATTTGTTTTTTCACACCGAAAACATTTAAAGATAGCTTGCCATTTTAATGCATGGTTTCTTACAATTAAAATTGGTAGTTCTTACTCTTAGTGGTTTATCAGTACTGTGACTTCAATAAGCTATAATGTCTTAGGATGTGCAAATTGTATTACGGTACTTCTTGGCATCAATTAAAAAATGAACATGGTGTGTTGAATAGTCATGTGTGCCTGGAAACTAAAAATGCGATGTTTTAGGAAGTGTCATTTTGCTGATGCAATTAGACAGAAGTCTACATGAAATATGTCTAGATTTAGGACTGGACCCTAAGTCCAATTACTGAGGCCTTTTTAGGAGAGAAGACATAATGTGAAAAAGCGAAGAAACAGATATTGGGTCTATGCTGCCACAAGCCAAGGAATGTCATGGGACACCAAAAGGTAGAAGAGCCAGGGTCTGAGAAAGAATTATGAATCACACACACACACACACACACACACACACACACACACACACACAGTGTAGTCACAGAAATCTTTTAGTCCCTAGCAATATGGGGCATGAAGCCACAGTCACCCATGTCATTCTGATCCAACACAGCAGGTTTTACAAGACTTTTTGACACCACAAAGATAATAACTCCATTAAAATTTTTTTTTGTTCTTGACTGGCATGGTGGCACACACCTGCAATCCTGGCACTTGGGAGGCTGAGGAAGAAAGATCATTGCGAGCTTAAGGCCAGCCTGGGCTACAATTGAGCTCAAGGCCAGCCTGAACTGCATAAAAACAAACAAAAAAAAATCTTTTTGTTCTTATTGCAGTTATTGCTCCAAATGTATAACATAGTGACTGACAGTTAGTGTCTTATGTAATTTTGTCAACCAATAAACTTGTGACAAGCAATTTGCTGTCTTTGTTATTTTTATGTTTTACAACTCACACCCTCTGACCCTTTGAGGGTATGCTAATTCTAGGTGGCTATAATTTATTTCTCCCCACCCAGATATTCATCCTCAAACTCTTTTAAATGTCCACATAAAAATTAGGTACTTTAATGTTTTCATTATTAATAGAATTTGGTTAATGAGCATTTGTATTCTGTGGAGAAACATTGAAGGGCTTGTAAATTAATGAATCTCCTCATTTTTATTGTGATACAAATGAGATAAACTGTCATTGTCATACAAAGTATTCAAGATGCTTTCTTTAAAAGATTAAAGATACTTACGCTTTCTTTGTAAGGATGTGGCAGCTAGGTAGCGATAGGTAACATTTATGGCTCCTGAAAAATTAGATAGATCCTTAAAAGTATGCACATAGCGTTCTGAATTTAGTTGATGTGTGGATGTTTCCCTTATTAGCTGTTTGTCACCCTCCTACATATGAACAAAGAAGCAGAAAAAATAAACATACAGTAGTATACAGTAACATACAGTAAACATGAATAATGCTTCTTCTTATGCAATGAAGATCAGTTAATATAAGGGAATGTTGTATCAACCTCAGTGACCGGTCTCATAATTTGAAGATTGTCATCCCTCACCTGATTTTCTGCCTGGAGCCCCTGTACTAAGTTCTCTTTCTTTTATTCCTTTCTTTTTAAAAATGTTATTAGTAGTACATGTTACTATTATACAATGGTAGAATTTACTTTCGAAAGTTAGTACATGCATTTAATTTATTTCACCAATTTGAAGCCTACTGCTTCCCTCTTCCATCTTTTCTCCATTCAGTTTATGCTGTTCTCCAGAAGTCTACATCCTGCTTCCCTTTCGTGTCTCATTTAGTTTAAATTCTGTATCAATTTATGTCATTATTAGTTTCCTTACATTCCATTCTTCATATTATAGCTAATTTGCTTTTCTACAGCATACACAATGAATACATTTATGAATTTTCTTCAAAATAAATCTTAATATATAATTTCCATACTCTGCAAGTTAAAATTCAACTTTTTTTTTTTTTACAATAATTAAGGATCTTAAAGTTTACAATAATAAAGGATCTTAAAGGATGTACTTTAGAGTTTCATCTGAGGTGAGTTCCCACTAAATTCCCCATTTTCCAATCATATTGAAACATTCACTCCTCCTCATTCACTGACAAATATGAGAACAAATATTATTTCTGTGCCAGTGAAACTTTAGAAATCATTAGGAAGTTATGGCAGTGAAACTAATCTTTGGTTCTTGGATAAATTTTTAAAAATTAAGAATGTTTAATAAAATAGTTATATGTTCACTCTAATTAAAAGCTGTTGAGAATAGTCAGCCACTGTCCTTGTGACATGGCAGTATGTTTTTTTGAATATTCTCAAGTAACCTCAATGAAGATACATTTGTATCAAATCAAGGAGATGTCCTCAGTTCTTTCTGAAGTCTGTTCTATGCATTTGTGTTTTATGTGTTTGTGTGTGTAAATCCACTTGTATTTTTATGTGGGCTTCTGTTGGAGGTGAAATTTGATCCTTTTTAGATTTAATATACATTTTAATCCATGTAATAGTGGATTATTCATAACATAACATCTTCAAGAAGACATATTTAAGAAAACATGCAAATTCATATTAAAACATATCTTGTTAGTTATTAATTGCTTTTGTTTTTCTCCATTCTTTGATATAATTTCAATGGTAGAATTCGATTACTTAATCACTATTTTATCAAGCCATGATTTGTTCTACATTGTTAACAAAGTGTTGATGTGTTTGGCTTAGACAGATGGGTTGTTATTATTATGTTTGGTGACCCCATAATTAGGAAGATATTATTTGGGGAGTTTTTTTGATAAGGTATACATTTCACTGTCTGTTAGTATATTGATCTATCTTACTACTCAGTATAAGATGTACTGCCACTCATTAAGACAAAATATAATTTAAAAGCAATAAATAATATTGGTCTTGATATTATTTGTTTGTGGTCAACAAACTTTTAATTAAATTTTTGTTCTAAAAGATTGGACGTAACATGCATTTTACCTTGATTAGAACATTCATTACTTTCATAAGGATGATTAAGTCAAATTTTAAACCTACAACCAGAGTGGAATGTTCTTAGAATAATAACTAACATAGTAGAGTACAACTAGACATTTATAAAATTTCCAGGGCTGGGGATTTAGCTCAGCGGCAAAGCACCTGCCTGGCAAGCGCAAGGTCGTGAGTTCAGTTCCTGGTACCAGAGAAAAAAAAAAACAAAAACATACAAACAAACAAAAAATTTCCATATGGTCCTTATTAAATGAAGATTCATTCTGAATGTTTTCTCATATTCCCAATTATGCTTATGAACCTTTATATTTGTTCATTTATGTACTCCTATATTTCATGTTGCCCTGATAATTTGGAAAGAGAAAAATGCTCTAATCTTTTACAAGGTTGGTAAGGTATTTAACATCTGTATAAGATGCAGTTGTTCAAAATAACTGAAATTAAACCCTACATACTAAATATTTTATATACCAATTGAGTATTCACTAAGTTCTTTATACATAAATATCTTCGTCTGTTTCTACTAGAAAACCTATAAAACTCATTAGGGTTTTATAATAAACAAATTTAGGATTGTCAGAAATTAAATAGATTCCAGTTATCATGACCACCTTTAATAGTACTGTAGTAATGCACATAATTAATAGAATCTGTAAGAAACTTCTATAAAAATCATAGTAGTCATGAAAATACAGAATTTCTTTCACCATTCTATTCTTGTGCACTGCTCCACTCTAAAGAAACTGCAGAATATTGAATATCTCTTTAAAATTTTATCCTGAACATGTACAAATTTAGTCCTTTTCTGTGATAAGATTGAATACATTCATCCTGATTGAAGGACATAACAGAACATAAAATGAAATGGAACTGATATGAAAGTATTTTATTAAATTCTCAAGAACAAACTTCCTTACACTCTTCAGCATAAATAAATAATGCAATTTTCACCTGAGTCAGCTTCATTGGTTGCTTTCTGAGGCATCCAACTGAACAGATAGGCTCTCCCAGGGCCCCTTCTTTTTGTAGCTACTACACTATGTGTGTTTCTCAGTAATAAGACAAAGCTTTATGACAACCATTTTCTGGATGGAAATGCAATTCAATGGACTAGCTACAGACTAAATATATACCCTAGTGGCTACTTTGAAGAATCTCACAGCCAAGAGGCTAAATTGATTGAGCGTGCAGCGTCTGCTTTGCTTGGTTCGCCTTGTAACAGTTTCTGTTCCTTGTACTCAGCTTAGAGCCCCGTCCCACTGACAGCCAAGTCCTTCTCTAATACATAAGCAAATACACTAAAGTGATAATATACCTAAGATTTCAGACCTCAAATGGATTTTCTGACTAAAAGAGCAGAGTAGAATGTGACATAACTCCAGAGACTGTACTACCTCTAACTTCCAATTTCTTTGAATTGTAGATATTACTTCCCAATAGAAAAAGAAAAATCTACAAAAATAAATGCTTGCAAAGTTGTGTACCTTGTGGCTTTTGAGGGAAGACATGGAAGCTGAAGTCAGAAAAACTTACAAAAAAATCATATGAAGGGGTTAGAGGGAAAATGCTTTTTAAATACTACATAATATTCTAGTAGGGAGCCACATTAAAAATTTTAGAAGAATAATTTTGATGAAGTGTAATATTAATCATTTAAAGAATATTTTAAATCTTTATACACATTAAGCCTTAGGGTAACACCTAAAAAACACTGAAAATTTGAACAATAAAATGCTATCATTGAATTCACAATAAGAGAGGGGTGCTTAGAGTTAATCACTTCAACTCACTTTTTATAACTTAATACAAGTATTTTTAAATTATCATTTTTTTAAACATAAGAAACAATCTTTTCTCTGTACCTAGACTGATTTACAAATGGAATTAGATATCTACCTGCTATAGAAAGAGGAATTTAAGTGAGAAAGTATTCTTTAGTAGACGAACTACTTCCTTAAAACATGTTTACTTTACACTAGGTAAGTAAGATCAATGTTTAGATGACTGTAAAAATTTACAAAACTGAGCAATAAGGTTTTATTTTCCTGTGATTAGATGATCCATTACTTACACATTTTTACACAGTGAATTTTTAAAAGTTTTGTTACAAAAAAACACAAGCCTATTACTAGGTACAGTGGTTTTGGGATCTGTTGAAAATTAAAGATTAAAATTGTACTTGAAACTATCTCATAAATGTAACAAGCCATTGACTACAGGAAGCATTCAATGAATAGTATTGGCTCACTTTACAAATTTTGTTTTACTTCTGCCAGTAGACATGCAAGAAATAAATTTTTCTTAAAACACTGATTATTATGAGACACCCTAATTAAATTATCATTTACACTGCACTGAGGAAAAAGCAGCTAAATCACATGGGATTTTGGTCCATTATCTTTAAATGTCATCGACCTTAAGTTGAAGTTTGAAATATCCTAAAATGCATATTATTAGTAAATCTCTCTTGTTTGCTATTTTCACCCGTTATACCTGGTGAAGCCTTGTCAGCATGTGGTTATTTCAATTCTTGATAGATATTGAAATGGGGGGACTATAAATTCAAGATATCTATCTGAAGATAAGAAACCTAGACAATACAACAGTCTAGATTCTGACAGAATTTCACTATCAAAACAGAGAGTTAAAGAATATAAAAAATTTGCAAAGAAATCCTAAGAGAATCTGCACTAAGTTAATGTGGTTATCTGTTAAGATATCGCATAATATCTAGTAAAGAATATGTAGTTATCAAATCATGTGCAATAAAGTAAAATTTTTATGAAAATATTCTTTGTGATGATTGTCACACTCTTCCTTGCTAAGATACTATTGAAATTTTTGCCATGCTAGCTTGCAGAAAGCACATTTTAGCAGTGTTAGTATAGAAGTTGTGATTTCCTGAAATACTTAAATAATAATAGTAACATAAAATTTAGAGAATATACCTTAGGCTCAAGTCAGATAGAGAAAAATTAGTGAAAAATTGTATGATATTATCATCAGACATGAATTGATGTGATATTTATAACAATATTTTGATACAGGACAAATTGATTTCTCACAATTATATAAAATCTCATCTTTGCCATATTTCCATATTTCACATAAAATATATTTATTTGTATGCCACTATGTACTAATTTTTACTATCTCTTTTTAACTGCTGACTAGATTCCACATCAGTATCTTTTCTTCTTCAGGTTTTTTCACTGAATATAAATATATAATGTGGTGACTACCAAGGGTTACTCAAAATCCAAAAGAAGTTTCACACATTGTAACAAGTGTAATTTAAACAAAATAGCACAATGAAATAGCATTGTTACTTAGATAATGAAATTTTGAAAATATCAATAGTAACATAGAAAAGTAGAGAAACAAAGGAACACAACTTTTTAAACATATCTGGTTTATTACATATATTTTAAATGAAAGCCCCCAAATCTTAATGGTTTTACATCATATTAATTGAGTATAGAGATTGCAGCTAATTTATTTGCAATTTGATGTACATATTTGCATCATAATATATGTAATAGCATTAAAGAAAATATTCAAACATAAAAATTACAAATGTAATGTTGACAGCTGTATGAGTAATACCAAAAATATATAGAAAGAAAATAAGCATGTTAAAATTTTTTTCTAACAAAGGCTATTCCAACAGCCTACATCTTGAAGTTAGTTTACAACTGGACAGAGCCTAGGCTGTCTTAATCCTTATTTCAAGTAGAAAATAAGCCACCTCCAAAACTTACCAGGACATAACTGTCTTCAATGTACAAATTCATGAACAGGAGGAAAATTACAAGAACTCCTAAGAATGACACTGTAGAACGCTTTCGCAAGCATCTCATTTTATCCAGTATTTGAAAAAAATGTTTCATTTGATGAAATTTAGTCATTCTCACCTGTGAAAGAACAGAAACCTAACTGTTAATTTTGGATACAGACTTTATTCATCATATACATAAACAATCAAGCTTTTACAGAATGGCAAGCTTTTATAGAAGCTTTTATAAAGTGAAGCTTTTATAGAATCCCATCCTTCAAATATACAAACTAAAATTCTACTTATAATTTCATACATAAGGTAGGCACTCTAGATGATTATACATGTGATATACAGTATATGATATGACCCTACATATTATATGTCAGACATATTAACATAAGTTCAATGTAGTGGCCTATACTGATGTAGCATAATTTAAAAAAAAAACAAGCTTTATGGTTATTAATGAATATTAAATTTGGTAATAATAATATAAAATTAGGACTTCCATGAGAAGTAGAACAAACATAAGAGCAAAACAAATATGTTAATATTTACAGTGAGATATAATAATAAAATAAACATCTATAACTCAGGTTATACTGTAATGAAAGATAACAAATATAGATTTAATATTAATTTCAGACTAGATGGCACTGAAAGTATTTAATAGTTAATCTGGGTTTAAAAAAGTCACAACAAAGGTTAAAGATTGAGGAAAAGCCTAAACTAATATTTAAGAACTTCTGAGTTAAAATTGCTGTAGTTTTCCAGTGACTTTTGCTACATAAGTCCTGGGTTGTCATAAACATATTGCTTTGCTTTATCTATTAACTGAAAGGATGGCTGTTTGGAGGACTCGCGGTCTGCAGAAAAGAAAAGAAAGTTCACAAAAATTAGGAGAAGAGAATATTTTATTCCATTTCACTCTTCCACATATTGTGATACTCACATCACAAATTAATTGAGATCATTGACCTTTCATTTTAAAAGTATAAACATATCTGAATTGATCGACAGAGAAGAGTCATATTTTTCTTCCTACTTATCTTTCAAACATTTTTAATTAACATAATATTTATACTTAGTATTTAAAACTGACTCAGTGAAAATTATCAGGTGTGTTCAGGACAATATTGTCCATAACTAGGATAAAACCTTTCGAAGAGGAAAAAAAATTAAGAAGTGATACAGATGATAGAATTAAAAGAAAATGTTATTATACTGCTTCCTTTATGTCCTATAAGCTCGATAGAGGCAAACATGAAACAAGAAAAGGGCCTTGTTATATTAAAAATTCTGTTTATTCTTTTATCTTAATTTACCCCACCCTTGCCTCCATACCAGATGATCTTAACATCTGATCAAATTTTTCATTTATTACCATCATCCAATTAATAGCTGATCACCTGAATCAATTAGTTCCATTTATCAGTTCCCCGAACCTCTTAGACATCTTATGCCCATGGACTCATACCCTGATTTTTGACTATAACTTCATAATTTTCACTGTTGTATCCAAAGTCGATCTGATCCCTATTTATCTCCTGTACAGTAAAACCCCATGAATTACCTTTAAGTTCTTTGAATAAAGACTACCTTACCATGGTAAAAATTATGACAACTGTCATTGAGTAAATTATTTACGTTGAGTGCTTTAGCTTGGAAAGGATCAGATTCATCATTGGATCTCCAGAATTTTTACACAGGGCACCAGTGCAAACTCTGAATTGTTACCTTCACTTCTGGCTGATTGATGGTGGATCCATTGGTGATTTCAACTCCTGAGCCAGTGCTGCGGATGATAGTCTGTTGAGGCAGAGTGAGGACAGATTGTGATTCTTAAGATTAGGATGCAGATTTTTACGATTACTCTGCACACTGGCTTACAGCCCAGGAAATCGCAGAGTGGCAGTTTAGGTTGTAGTTTGCAAGAAATTGAGTTACACTCCTAGTCTTTGAAAAAGAGTTGTTGGGTTGAAAATTTGTCTTTCTGACTCTTTTAATGAAGAAAGAATTTACTGTTTCATCTCCAGGACTAGAAATTTCCCTGACTCTTTAGGGGGTTTCTCCAGTTCTCTTGAAAGGGTTCATCACTGGACCCCAGAATTCTCATGCAGGACAACAAGTATGATTATTTAGTCCTTCATTTTCGTACATATGTGATACTCTTTCTCCTATGTTAATTGAAACTCCTCTCTCAAACCTCTGCTGATTACATGTTCCACCGATTCTGTACAGTTCCTTTCTGGGCATCATGTTTTTCTAAACAGAAACTGTGATTCAAATCACCTGCTTGGGAAACCAAATATTTCCCCAAGCTGGGTCCTCTAAGATCTCCAACTCCTACTGGTTATGCTCCGCTTTCCTCCACTGATCCTTTTAATCTTCCTTTCAGCTTCATTGCAGCTTTTGGCATTTATTACTTTGAACCTCACCTTTTCCCATTCCTCTGTTTCTGCCAGACATTTTCCTTCCCACTAGAGGTTTAGTCACTTGAACTTTAGGACTCTACTTGTGTTAAGATTTCCAAGATAGTCAAGATCCTCCAAAACAAATGTCAAAGTGAAAAAGAAAAAAGCATCCATTTGAAATTAGTATATTATCTACATGCAATCATATTCTTCCAAAGATTGTACATCTGAATAAAACGAAATTTTAAAAGTCTCCTACAACATATATTTTCAATTAGCAATAATCGCACCTTGGATAAACCTCATTGGCTATGATATTACCACTGCGCAAAGCTCCTACAACATATACTGGCAAAAAGCTTTAGCCCTCATATTGGTGAATAACCTTAATTTATTTAACCTTTTACCAAAACAACTGGAATAAAAATATAAAGTAGAGCAAAGAAGAAAGTGTATACAGTGTTTTCTTGATTCATGATTAAAATTTTGCAGTACAAACTATAAAATCTGTTTGCATCTTTATGTATAGAAATATATGTTATGCATAGTGATATTTAAAAACTCTGACAATATTATTTTCTTTATATAAGTTAAAAGTTTTATCCTAAATGGATTAAAAATAAACAAGCACTTATTTAAGCTAAATATTCCTACAACTCCCAAACACAGGAATTAATTGAAATGTTTTTCAAATTCATAGGACTTGGTAAAATCATTGGAGCATTAAGGCTAGTTTATAGTTGCTGGTTTAATAAAAACATATTTTGTTAAAATAACATGTTCTATTAGCATTCAGTATAAAATTTTTATATTCAGTACAAAAATAAGCATTTTTATTAATGTAATATATCTGCTAGATATTTAAGATTGCAAAAATTATAAACTCAACCTTAGGATGAATACACAAGTAAATATACAATAAAACATTGCCTGATGTCAGTTACCTTACAGAAAGCAGTAATCAAAAATATCAAACAAACTGTGTGCATAGTTAACTTTTCACTTTTGGTGTGCTTACTTAACAAGCATGTACTTTAAAAATAGGTAACAGGAAAATAACTTGCGATGATGGACTAGTACTTTTGGTGTTACAGGAAATCTACTGAAAAACAGTTCTCAAAATATTTTTCGTCAGTTCCATCATTAAAATTATGCTAAGTTAGATTAAGTAATAGATATTTATAAAATGTCTAGGTCATTTCTAAGAAAATGAACTATTAGAATAATTATTACTAAATTTATTTT